GGCCCAGCCGGCGCCGCAGCAGCCCGAGGAGGGCTCGGGCGCGGGGCCCGGCGCGTGCAGCCTGCACCTGAGCGAGCGCGCCGACTGGCAGTACTCGCAGCGCGAGCTGGACGCCGTCGAGGTCTTCTTCTCGCGCACGGCCCGGGACAACCGGCTGGGCTGCATGTTCGTGCGCTGCGCGCCCTCCAGCCGCTACACGCTGCTCTTCTCGCACGGGAACGCCGTGGACCTGGGCCAGATGTGCAGCTTCTACATCGGCCTCGGCTCGCGCATCAACTGCAACATCTTCTCCTACGACTACTCGGGCTACGGCGTCAGCTCGGGCAAGCCCTCTGAGAAGAACCTCTACGCCGACATCGACGCCGCGTGGCAGGCGCTGCGCACCCGGTGAGCCCGGCTTGCCGCTGGGGGGAGGTGGGGTGCGGGTCCCTTCGGGGCCTCTGGGGAGGCTTGCGGGGAGAGGGTCCCCTCCTCCCGGGCTGTGGGCGCTGGGGATTCTCTTTTCTTCTCCATCCCTGGCCTGCTCCCACCTTCTCCGAAAACCCTGCCAGCCCTCACGTTCCTGGAGACCTCAGACTCGGAGGATTTTGCCTACTTTGGCACGCCTGGGTGCCACAGGTTCACCGGCTGGGTCTTTTGTGGCTCTGGTCACCGCAAGTGGCAGCGTGGGGTGCTTAAGTACCGGGCAGAAAGAGGCAACTTGGCTCGTGTTTAGTTCGTATGAGCTGGCCACCAGAGACTGACGGGCCTCAGGCTGGTGACCTTGGGCGAGGCACATGAGGCTCTACCTTAGTTTCAGTCCCTGTAAAATCAGGGGGTGAGATGGGATGACCTCTAAAAGTCTTTCCGATTGTAAAGTGCCCGCGAGGCATTGTCTGGGTAGCCTTGATGGCAACTAGAGGTGTGAGGAGTTTTTCTCTGGTGGGGCAGAGTAGCTGGCACTGTGCGGGCAGGAAGTTAATCGGTGGCTGTTGGCCTGGCACCTTCCACAGATCCTCAATAACAGCCCAGGATGAGTTTCAATTTTACAGGGTTTGGGAATTCTCTTGACCTTGAATTAGCATTCGTAGAAGAACTGGAAAGTATTTATTGAGGGCCTTTCACATGCCAAGCATAAACGGGGAGGGGGAGGGGGGAGGATGCTTTAGTGGTTAGACCTGGTAGAAGAGACAAAAGTCTAGTAAGTGGGCAACTCAGGTTAGCTATTTGTGCTCCAGCTTTGATAACTGACCTTTCCCACCTACCTTATAGCAGTGATGGTGAAAATACCTGAGATCATGTCCATATGGAGTCTGGATTTCTTCAAATGAGAGAGTCCCCAGAATAAGTTCAACTGGTACAACTGTCCCTATGGACTCATATACAAGTCGTTTTTTTAAATCTAAAAACCAAACCTGATTGTTCAGCTCTTGCACATCGCCAACATTAATGATTTTTGTTTCCATTCGTGTTCATGCATATGTTCATAAATTACCCCTTGTCTGTCTGGGAAAACGACTTGTCCAACAGGCAGGTACTTAGTATTTAATGTATGTTGCTTGTCCGTGTGCTTCTGAAGTCCTGAAGGAGATGTCCTTATTTGGATGATAGCTTTTTGAAAATGGCATAGGCGGAGGGGAATGAATCATATGTGGATGTATTGGGTCAGAATCCACAAGTAGTTAAGAGCCACCTGTTCCAGTAAAGGGTTTCAGAAGTATGTGTCGCATACAATCAATAGGTTGCTAGGATTTGCTGTTGGTAAAGGTGTTAAAAATAAGGTTGGCATTAGACTTTTTTAAAGTGAAACATAAAAATCCTACCTTACTGAGTAGGTTTTAAATAAAAATTTGTGTAGAACATTGTTCCTCTGCCTACGAATCTGCCTTAAAGTGAAAGCCCTTCATAAGACTAGAACTTTGCCCTGAATGCAGGTGTGTCTGTATTGCAACATATGTGAGGCATAGTTATTTCCTGGAGACTTTTGTCAAATTGAATTGAATTAAGGGGTATTGTTTTGGACAATGTTAAATTTTGAATTATCTGATCTATCTAAGTTTTGCCCGTGATTTGTTTAATTTTGTGCCAGAATTCATATCTAAATTGATTTATTCACCTCTAAAATAGGTTAGAATTTAAAGCCTAGGTGATTCAGAATCTTAGAATTTGAAGAAATCTTACAAATCCTCTTGTCCTGTGCTTTTCGAACTTGTTTGACTGTTAACCCCACAGTAAGAAACACATTTTACACCTTGATCAAACACAACACATATCTGTGTCTACTTATCTGAAGCAAGTATTTCACAAAACAATATTTTTTTCTATAGGCAGTGCACACAGAAAAATATGTCGTCTTATTTCTTTTAAAAAAGAAGAAAAAGAATGATGGTTGTGAACTGCTAAATTTATTTCTCAGCTCCTGTGTGAACACTGCATCTTTCCACCCACCTCATTAGGCGGAATGGTAACCTCACAGCAAACCAGTAGTCCATCTCTTGACAGTGGCGAGTATTCTTTCCATTGTACCATGTAGTCATGTTTATAAGATTTTTCAAGAAGTGCATTCATGTGTCTTGGTTATTCTACTAACACAGGCGTTACCTGATTCCAAAGCTAATCAGTGCCTTAACCACCTTCCCTTTCTCACTGTTCTAGATGGTTCTTCTGTTGTCTCTACTCACCCTGGAACATGCCTATTCTCTGTCCATTTACAGCTCGGTTCAGGTCATTGCTGTGGCGGGGAGCATCTTCCATCCTGTGTAATCATTCGTCTGTGGCTGGGTCAGATCCTCTCTTCCACTCTCCAACCTCCATGTCGTCTTTGGGGTTCTGTCTCTTTTCTGACCTGGTTAACCACGCTGCTCAGGATGCTGGTTGGAGAGCTTGCCATGGTCTGAGTTGGCTCTGTCTCTGCACTTAGAGTGTTCCCCCAGGAGGTCTGTAAGGTGTGTGTGTTAGTGCTGTGCAGCCCCCAGAGCACCAGGCCCAGTGCCTTGCCCTCCTTCCTCATGCCCACACCTGGCCTTTGTATATGCCCTTCTCCTGTGCTGGGAATGCGCTCTCCTGACTGGATCCTAATCGGGCTTAGGAGACACTTCACGTTCTCTGTCCTCAGGATTGTACTTATCACGGTGTTGGTATGTCCTATTATCTAACTGTATTCCCACTAAATTGAAAGATCCTTGAGGGCAGGGAGTCTATGTCTTCTCTATTCCCAACAGCTGGCAAAGTGTCTTAAAATAATAGATATTCATAAAATATTTGTTTAATGATTTGCACATCATGGATACCCCCTAAATAAATGGGATGAATTCAATTTTTCCTAAGTTGGATTCTTACAAAGAGTTGGATCTTATTTTACTTTCAGGGTTTAATATCCGTGGGTATGACCACATACAAAAAGGGTTCAGATGTATTGGCTTGAGGTCTGATCCACTTAATATGCATTATATTGTTGTTCTTGTGACACTGAAGTGTCTATATTGAATGGAAGAGTAACAATAACCCTCCCTTTTTTCTCTTTACCCGTTACCCATTACCTGTCTGTTCCAGCTCCTGTGCATGCTATATTGAGCTTCCCAGCCATTTTTAATGGAGGACTTCAAGCATAAATACTACCAAGTGTGCAGACCCCACATGCTTGGATAAAGGCAGTGAATCCTCTCAAATGATGAGTATTAAGGTGCACAAAGAATCTAGAGTAAGGGTTTCAGGAGAAGCAAATTTGGAGCAAGAAAGGTGCTCATTGCCATTTGACCAATAGATGATTATGTTAAGCATTTGAAGAATTCTTGAAAAGGGTGTAGAAGAGAGGTAGGGGGTGAAGGTGCCAAGAAGAGTGTGGACTCACCGTGGAAGAAGTAAGCTGGCATAGGACACTGAGAACCTAGGCATGATGGAGTGCTCCAACATGAGGACATGTTTTATTTACATTGGCAGGTTTGTCCCCTCCAAGACTCGTGTTGAAATTTAATTGCCATAGAAACAATATTAAGACGTGATTAGGCCACGAGGGCTTCACCCTCATAAGTAGACTCGTGCCTTATCTTAGTGAGGATTCCATTATAAAAGAACATTTATGTAGTGTGAATACAAGCAATTGAGGGAATAAATTGGAATCACTTAGAAGTACTTGTGGAAAGCATACTGTGAAAATTGGGGTCGCCTTATTGGAGCCTAGTGTAACTTGAGTTGGGAAAGTAAAGGCTGCCTGTTGGTTAAGGTGGGAGTAGACAGATTCAGCCTCCTCAACACATATCCTTCAAGAGGATCCTCTTAGACCTGAGCAGTTTTAGACTATGCAGAAGTGGGACTGTGATTCAAGAGGAAGTGAATCAAGCAGATTTGAAAGTATGAACCCAAACAAACAACTCAAAGAGTGAGGTATAAAGTGGGCAGAGAGTATTTTAGCTGAAACATTTTAATCTGGAGAAACGAGAGAGTTGGGACATTTGTGATTCGATTTGCTATCAGTGTTTACCGATGCCGTAAACAGAAGCCATCTTTGGTCCTTCTGTTTGATGTTTGGTGACAAAGACTGTGGAGAGGGGCATTTGGTGACATAGACAGTGAAACATTGACACAGAGAAGGGAAATGTAGAGAGAGGAAGGTAAATAAGAGACTTTAAGTGCCTAGGTGCAGAAGACAAATTAAAAAAGACAGTATCTCATTCATTCACTCATTTGAGCAACAAACATTAACCATTAAACACATTTATGGATGCTGTGCTTGTGCCAGACACGCACCACGTACTCTTGGAGTATTGTTAATCCCAAACCGATTTTTTTTATTGTGAAAGTATGGAATAAATTTTAAGGGCATTTTGAAAAGGTAGCCATGTTTTGCTGCTTTATAACTTTTGTATCTGTGATTCATAGGATCCATAATTGGAAAATCCATGTCACAGCAAGGCTGTGGTGGCATACCCTCCAGAAGCAGCATCCTTGAAAAGCACCTTCTATTGGTTGTGACTAGTGTTCAGTTACCACTCTCAGGGAGGAATTCTCCTGGGAGTAGCAAAACAGTTACTTTCCTGGGCATGTTGGTGTTAGTAACCTAACTCTTTTGTTTTCAGTTTTTTCAGAGGGAATACTATGGTGCTGTTAAGAGAAGAAAACCTATGATTTCTACCTGAGCTTGACAGATTAGGGACAGGAAAAACAGAATGTGTTATGAAGACTGTTTGATGTAAGGTGAAAGCACAATGATGTTTCTAGAAAGGCCGTAGAATGTTGGCTTGCAATTCAAGGTGGCCAACGTGAGAATATCCTATTAGGAAGAACGCAACTGTGAAGATCAGACCTGTTGAAACGGAAGTAGGCCAAGTGCGTTTTGGGGGTTCACCTAGAACCCTTCTCTCTGGCGCCTCCTCTTCCTTCCTCCAGGCTCTCTTGCCATGGCTGGCTGT